ACATAAAGGGAAAAAATTCACATAACCTAGTGGTAGAATATATACAAAATGTATACGTTACAAATTCTTATATCCCATTTTTTAAAATAAGGAATGGCCGTTTGCATTACAGCACTATATATTACCACTATCAGAATCCCTTGCCCAATTTTTTGTTAGTTAATTGGCATCAAATTGTCTTGCAATTGTCAATCACTAAGCAAATAACATAAAGGGAAAAAATTCACATAAACTAGTGGTAGAATATATACAAAATATATTGATGCCCAGGCTTCAACGTAATTGTACTTCTTTCGTTGAGCGCTTGAGAAATATAAATTTTCATAGTTAGATTAGGTTTCGTACGAGTGTTAAAAGCCCTCGAAGACAGGCGGAACGGTAACGGTGCGGAGATATCGAAGATATCTGTTGGTCTAATCGCTGCGCGCCAAACCACTACTCATCTAAAGCTTCGACAAGGCAGCGTCGCAATCACTGCGCGGCAAGGCACGGTACGGCACGGCACGCACATCTGTATCAAGGGTTTATTACAATAATATAATTCATTACGTTAAATGTTTCACTATAAGAAAACATTATATTTACCTATTTTTCCATTTGTATTCTTGCTATTGAGAACTCCGAACGCGATAGAAGGGAGAAGACACGCAAAGTATAAGAACATGACAGTAGCTGCTAGCTTGTGTAGGGTACGGTGCCCGACCACGCCTTGGAAAATATTAGGGAGAAAATTGTTTAATTAATAGACGGATTGTAACTAGGAAAAAAATATTAGTATTTTTGCATTGCCGTCCTTGTTTTGTTTTTACGAGGGTAACAATTAATAGCCAGAGGCTAACAAACTTGTGGCCCTCGTTTAGAATCGAATTGGAATTTGGGAGTTGATTTTTGTGGAAAGAGGAAAACCGGAGAACAACCCCCGAGGCACAGGAGAGAACAATCTATGAACTCTACTCACATACAACACCGAGCCCGGGTCACATCTGGGGTCCCGTGCTTCTCATGCACTATGAGAAATCCCTTATACACTCAATTGAAGAATCGTTGTCGGGTTCAGAAACATAGAACATAGAAGCTTAGACCGAAATGGCACATGGGAAATGACATAATCATATTATAATTTATTCATTTGCGCCATCCATGCAGTCGGTTTAGAATGCCAAACACGTATTAAAAACAGTGGATGATGCCACGGGTCGCCGGTCACAGCATGCATCTAATTAACGCACTTCCCATGTGCCATTTCGGTCTCAGCTTCTATGTTCTATGTTTCTGGACCCGACAACGATTCTTCAATTGAGTGTATATCTTGAATGACAATGTAGAACAACGTGATCTAATTCATTCAATTCTGTTACCATCAACAAAGTCCGAGGCGTAAAATGGCAATCGTCTGAGAAAATCATCTTTGATTCCACGACCAAAAGAAAACATTTTCGGCTCCTGAAGAAGAAGAAAAAATAATAAATTTTCTAGTCATCCACCAACAGAGAAAGGAGAATTCGTAATATTTATGTGATTTCATGGGAAATAAGGGCAGCGTAGCTGGCATCAATTTCCAGTCTTTCCCCGTTTTCTCTCCGTTTTCTCCCGCGGTGAGTGAGGGGTTAAAACACGAGGTCTTTACCTAGGCAGGCTAAAACCAACACAGTATGCTAAATAATAAATGGGGGGGGGGGGGGAGGGGGAGAGGAAGCAAATTTATAGTGCTTTTTGTTTGTTTCGTTTTTGCACGCATTACAGTGTTTCTCCAAATGATTTCCCTTTGTCCTTTTTCCTCGCTCACAGTACTTCTTATATCTTTATCGCTTTTTGCTAAGATTGACTCCCTGATTGGCTGGTTCCGAGTCGTGTTTGGATTACCTCTTTGACTTCTTCCTCTCTTAGGGTTTCACGGTAAGAAGCAGCTCCGGAATGTGTGAAGGAAGACGTTCTGGCGGCCAAGGCTCTCCTTTTGGCGGACTTTTTCTTTCTCTGATATTCTCCTGATGCCATAGACTGCTTATATTCAATTAGAACTTTCTGAATATGCCAAAATAAAACAAATTAAGCCTTATCAACTGATTAATTTTAAATTGCTGAGCTTTGGAGAAATTTTACAGCACCTGGAAGGTCTGTGTTAAGATTTGATCGTAGCAGAAATAAGTCGATAACCCTCCCCCCTCCCGAAAAATAACCTAAAATGGACAAAGAGTGAAACAATGAGAGGAGATATAACATATTGACAAATCTTTATTACCAAGAATTCTTCCTCGTTCTCTGCTGCTAACAATTGTTGTCTGATTTCTATGTCTGACAGGAGAGTTGCAAAGGTTCGTCCCGTCTCATGCGAGCTTTTGGTCATTTTCTACAAAAAATAAAGTATAACACGTTATATCGAAGAAAGTGACAATTAACCTCCTCCTAGGGGATTAGCAAGGTGGGCAACCACCCTCCTCCCCCCACTCCCCAAAGCCTTACTAAACCTGTGAATACACGCGTACGCGTGTTTATTGGCAGGAAATAACCTTATAGAGGTTTTTAATGTGATGTCATGGGAGCCATGTTTGAAGCAAAAGGAAAGAAAATTTGTCATTCAAAAAAATTGCACTGTTCCTGTCCAAAAAAAACAAAAAACATCTATAGTCTTCAGTTAGAAAAAAAGATAGACTTACCGTTTTCCTGGGTGATAAAATTAGGACAGCAAGGTGAGTGCCCTGTAGGGTCCTTCCAAGGTTAGTGGCGTGACGTAATCTAGCGATAGCCACATAATTTTGTTGGACTGAAGACAGTTCAGCCCTGCGGGAGAAAAGACAAGAAATCTCATTAACACAAACAAAGGAGCAAGAAAGTAAACAAGCATACAAACAGTCAGACAAAGAAACAAGAAAACAAGTGTAAATTGGAGTATAGAAACGAAAAGACAGTCAAATGTTTAATTAGTTTGGTTTCATTCTCCTTTGAACTTAAGACTGAATAAAACGAGCGATATGGAAGCGATTTTGTGTCGTAATTTTGCTTTTTTTTCCCTTGTGTACACCCCACTCCCCCCTACCCGTACCCCCCCCCCCCCCCCCCCCCCCCCCCCCCCCCCCCCCCCCCCCCCCCATAGGAAAAATTGTCACAGTACAGTACTAACATAGCAACAAGCCAGCATTGTGTTTCTTCCCAGCCGCTTCCTTCGGATTTCTCTGTCCCTTGAATGACATGCGATAAATGGTGGACTGTAAAGTAGAAAAAGAATCATTCATTAAAATATTTGTTCATTTGTATTAACGTTAATTTCAACGTTAATTTTCGTCAGTAAATTTTCTAAATATTTCGGACGAAAAATTGAGGATTTAATATTCAGTTGTCAAGCACATCTTACAGACATGTACACCAACTTTAAAGTGGAAAATTTCCATGGTTTAATTATTCGTTTGTTCAAAGCATATCTCACCAGAATCCTTAGTAAAGAAAGCCTCTCTTGCCGTTACCAGATCTATTCCACTTCCTTCATTCTTGGTGATCAAAGTTTTTAACACCACGTCCATGATATCTTCAAGTCTTGTTTCGTGGACATTGAGCAACAATGTCGGGCTCTCTAGAAATCTTTCTATGTCTTTTAATGCTCTAATTTCTGTATAAATATCTTTGACCTCAATTTTCTGTAAAAGAAAACTAAAATAATTATCTTTGTTTTGTTAGGCCTTTTTGTTTTGTTAGGCCTTTATGTTTTGTTAGGCTATGTTATATGTTTGCAGTGCCGCTTTGACTTATAAGAAGCTTAACTTAATTTTGGCTCCAAAATTATTAGTTCTGTCATTCTAGACAGCTTTTTTCTAAATTAAAGATGTAGGTACCAATACATCTAAGTCAAAATCAAATGAACAGTCAAAAATATTTCGAGCATAATCATAAAACAGCACTAATCCGTTAGGCTTAAAACTCTAAAATCTTTTTCGTTAATCAATTCAAAAAATTTTACTTACCGTGTGTTTGGTATACATTAAGGTTGTTTCAGTAAACTCATCTTCAGGTCTGTTATCAGCTTCAACATCTAGTAAAAATATAGGAAAATAAAACAAGAACTTACAGTTACAAAAGTGACAATAGTAATGCAATGTGATATGTTTTCAATACAAGAATAATTTGTGACTGAGACAGAGCATGCATCCGGTCCGAGCGATATTAAGCTTATCTAAAATTAGAATATTGATAAGGTTAAGTCTGTTGAAAAATTCTAGTTCAATCAATACATAAATAGCTGATTCACTCCACTAAATAAGAGATGAATTATATTAGCCATTTTTCAGCTATATGTCTTCTTTTCGACGTCTGAAACTTCATAAAAGTTAGCGACGCCACTAGTGGCTTTACCGGCGCATTTCTTCAAGAACAAAATTTTCGCTGAGTCAAAACTTACCTGTTAATTGTCCATTTACTGGTGGAATGTTATTCATATTTACTATTTCTACTGTATGCTCAGAAAGATCCCCTTCCGTCTCCATTTTGACTCTTAATGTGCTGTTTCTTGGCGTCTTCACTATCGAGCAACCCTCATTTCATCGGTTCGTTTTACTCGTTTGCCGGTTTACGTAACCGCGCTGGATTGTCATGAAGCACGTGTTCAGCTAATGTATTCACGTGTCGCTATTGTTATCTTGTTATGAATAAAAAACTTTTATATTACTACAGTAGGCTTTTTAAAAAAGTCATCAATAATTCATGAAAGAAACACATAGAAATCATGACCATGAAGGAGGTTTTATATCTGATATAGATTCGTCTTCATTTGCATAAACTTTAACTTGGATTTTCTCTATCAAACTTGGTTCATTTCGTATTAATTCGCCGGTACAATATGAGCCGAACATCAAACTCGCACTAGTCGTGTTTATTCGGGTCTAAAACCACTCGGCTGATAAAACACTCCTGCTTGTTTATTAAACATTACATAAAGAACCACCAGACGGATAATAAAATTGTATAGATAGTGGGTGTAAGGAACTTTTGTTATCCTCGAAATTTCATTATTTGAGAGCTCCCGATGGGGTACCATACAATACTGCGGCAAAGGCAGCCCAATCTCGTTTTTTTTCTGTATACAGTGCGAAAATCAAATCGTGAATAGACTTGTATGGAACTTCTTGTTTATTTTAGTTGTTATTTTTACGAAAAAAGCCTTATTTCTTATTATTATCACACTAGTTTTTAGCTAGTTATCTCTTCTTATTTCTTATTAGTTTAAGTTCTCAATTTCTCGACCTTTCACTTTCATTATTTCTTAAGACATTATTGTTTTGACTAGCTCTCACCCACGAGCCTGTATATAATAACGGAAAAGGGATTCTTTGAATTTCAGTCAGTCTTTCCGAGAAAACTATTTGTCAGTATTCGTGCAATTTTTATGAACGTGAAAATGTTTTATGAATATTTGGCCAGGCTACGGCAAACAAGCATAATAGCGATAGCGTTTTATTTATTTTTGTTAAATATATTGCTATATATATACGTTGAACATTTTCGCACGGTTTCTATTCGACTTATTTGTGATTCGTACAATATACCGGATACCGATAGTTTTAAACCTGTTGCATCGGCAAAAATTAGGGGAAAAAATTGCCACTATTATTTTTATGATGATATCACATTTATTTTCAGCTTCAACGTTATTGAAATAATCTTTAGGTTCTATAATAAACAGTAGTACTGGTTTAAGTTTTTTCTTGATATTCCGCGAATCTTTAAAAGGAGTCAGTGATTGTAATCAAATTTCGGACAGTTTTCTTCCCCTTTAAATTTAAATTTCCCTGCTAGAAGACTCAGTTGGTTTTAAATTTATAAATTTTGAGACGTTTGATAAATCCTCTCTAATTCTATACATTTTTGCATATTCTCAATTATTCCGCCGCATGCACCTGCTACTGTTCATAGCAAAGCGAGTAGATAAAGAGAAGGTTCCGTTATCAGTTACTTTAAAATAGTAGACATGAATCTCTTTCAAAGCCGAGGTGGCTATTCCTTGGTGAGTGTTCACCAATCTTATCCAATCCATGAACACAGTGCCGCTTCTTATTAATTATAAAAACTAAAGCTACATGGATTAGAGAGGTCGAGGCAAGTACATGTATGTGTGACCTCTTGGTTTGCTGGCGCAGAGGGTATATTGACACTTGGTGCCTGAGTAAGTGCTACCTGGGCAAGATATCGCAGAACACAGCACACTATAGGAACCATAGCGAGTAGTTACTAACTATGTAGGAACGTAGCTAAGCTCACACAAGGTGTCCGAATACAAGGTCGATTGAGTTGTACTCGGGCACCCGGGCACCGTAACAAGTTTAAATTTAGTATCCAGCGAGAACTTGGCCAGGCAACATGCTTAGAGCACCAAATGTGAAAACACCCAGCAACAGCTTGGTGATTTAGTACTTTTTGTCAGGAGGTTCTGAAATATTAGCCTGAACATCTCTGACAAAATTTAAAAACTGGGGTAATTTTTCCACGATCTGTTCGGGTTCCCATTTTCCACTTGTGAGAAGCCTGTCCCATTCGTCACAGTGAAGGTGGATGTCAACCTGAAAAATATTTATGAAGTGAATGAAGTGAAAGTCAGACGATCGGCCTGAATAAATGAATGAATATACAAGGGACCAGTCATTATTTAAGTCGGAGGGGGGGTGGGGGGTGGGGAAAGGGTGGAGGATAAAATGGGGGGCCCTCGAATTTTTTTGGTGCCTTGACTGGATTCTTGACGTCGTAAGAAAGGCGCCATTTTGAAAAGAAATTAGAACCTTTAAGCAAAATGTAAACGTGTTTTAAAACAGCACCAACGCCAAGGTTAGTACTTTACTTAATTGAAGTTAAAATGGCTAGTATTACTATAAACTCTTTCCTAAGTTGTACTAGTAATAAATCTTATTCCAGAGCTAAGAGGTCATCAACCTTGACGCTCGAGTCCTCTACATCTTCCTACCGTTTTACATTCCTGTTGACCACTTCCAGTGACATCCATAACATCTTCCTCTGATATTGTGATAGAGAATTCTTCTCCGTCAGCTTTGTATGGGTAGCTTCTTCGGTGACATTTTCTCCAGTAGTAGAGACAATAGTCTCCAGAATTGCCTGGCATTTCCGAGTCTCCTGGCATGCACAATTCCTTGTTAACAATTGATACGTTGTCCAGGTATTTTGAAACGTTTTTTTCGAACTCTTTGGTTTTGCCTTTGTCATCAATTGGTGAGACTAAAATAGAAAATTATAAGTAATAAGTGTTTTGAAGTATATGTATTTTAAAAAGTAAATGTTAGAGAGTTTTAGATTGACTTTTTTTTCTCCCCGCAAACGGCAAACGTGACCACGTTTTCATAGTTTTCCTGTATTTTACTTTACTATTTACAAACCTTCTCACCAAGCGCAAATACTCTTTTGTTTTTCTACTACTTGGACTTTTTTGCGATTCTTTTTTAGTCATTTAAAATAATTTTTTACTGGTCAACTGACGTTTCACGTTTGCCGTGAACGTAAATCTAAAACTCTCTATTATTATTTTGAAGACCGACTCTCCACACCCCAAAAGACTATTTAATTTTTACTCCCTCCGCCCCCTTGCCGTGCAGTTTTGGGCAACAAAATGGTTAAACTATCTTAGTTCATTCTTCTTCAGATAAGCTGTCAGAGTGTCCTGGAGACCTCTTAACAACATAAACTACGAAAATATTTACTTATAAGCACTGAGATAACACTGCTGTCGTTCTACTCTAGCTGTGAACACTTGTGTTTATTTTTTTATTTGTTTAAATATGCTTTTATTTTTTTTCTTTCCTTTTCATCCTTTCATCTCCTCGAATAGCTTTCAATACATGTAACTTGAATTTTTTTCATGAAATGGTTTGTTTTTTTTTATTTTATTGTTTTCGATTTGCAATCTATCAGAACGACAGTTATACCAAATAACGTATTATCATCATTATCATTGGCATTATCATTTTAAGGTGGCTGTATTGTTTGGTCCTAATAACTTGAACTTTATAACATTATAAACACCTGTGCGTATAGCCAAACGGCAATCCATTCCTTCTGATAATATCATGATATTCACTCTAGCTCTGGTTAGGAACTGGTCACAGAGCATATACTTTGGTGCTGGGGATGCCGAGGATACTTGCTTTGGATCATGCTTTCTTATGTCTATATCTTGATGAGAAAACTTTGGATCTATATTACCATCCATATCCATGAAGATCTGAAAAATAATAATTCAGATAGTATAAAGAACACTAAGGATAATGAGATGCCTATGCCATAATAAGAAGCAGAATCCCTGAATATGAYAGRAAACTCAGGAAGAACTTKGAACTTGAGTGAAATTGCATACCCTGTTTATGACAAGAAGCTCRAAAAACCATACCCTGTTCAGCAGATCATCCCTGTATAGTCCATATATGGGAGTACCCCCCCCCCCCCCAGGGTTTTCACTCCAAAATTTCTATCTGGTAAAATATTTTTCAGTTACAAGTGTTGTATGTTAATAGTGGGAACTTACTTTAGCCCGAATACTGGTACACGAAGGAGTGTAAAACTGAAAGTCATGTCTAATATGAGGATCAACTGTGCATTTATATCCATCATTGTAAAATTGCAACTGCTTTTCTAATTCTTTGAATTCTAACTCTTCAATGGCATTAAATCGAAGTCTCCAGGATTCTTTCTTGCCATTTTCAAATTCTGCCTTGAGATCACTCAACTTGTAGGTCTTTTCCTGGTCTGGGCCTACAAGAAAGAAAAGTTTTCAGAAACTGCAAGTTTTGCTTTCAGTTTTGAAAAATGATTTAACATTCTTCAAAGTGACTGAAAATTATTAGATGTAATATGCTTTTAGTGTGATTATTAACATTTGTTTTGGAAACAGTCCTTATTCTAGGTCATTCTTATTTGGGATAATATAGGTAAAATATAAATTAAAGTATAATTATTTTTTACCTTCATCAACGTTGCCAATGTACAAGTGTCCAAAATGACAGAAAAAGTCAGCTTTGATTTCTTTGTCTTTGTTCTCTTGCCGTACTTCCTTCAGTACCTTACGAACAAATTCTTGCAACTCCTCTGTATTTAAGTCTTCAGGAGTGGTATGCAGTGACTGTACATAATCGCAAATTTAATAATTCGATTAATGCTTTTCCTTATATGGTGGCACCTTCATCCCTCATGATCATTGGTCTTTTCAAAAAACCTATTGACGCTAATAAAAGTCAAGTTGGGAAGGGTTTTTAGATTCAAAATCATAACAGTATAATATAGTATGTATATAAATACAAAAAGTTGGGGAAGGGGACTGAGAATTATTTAGCAAAAAGTGGGGAGACAAGTTTAAAAGTCCCCTCCTGATCATAATTTTTTCAAGGTTTAATGACAAAGGACCATGAAGTAGACAACTGAAGAAAAACGGCTGCTTGGCCCCCCTCTGAAATAGTAGTAGTATATATTAAAATATCAAACATCTACCATACATATTAGAAATTTCAATGCAGCTTCCATTCTTAAAAATCTTGCACATTGAGATCTAAATTACCTCCTTGTCATCATCTTCTATTCTGTAAACTTTGAAATGCTTTTCTCCATTCCAGTTAGGATTAGGACAATCAAATTCTTGTAATTTGTAGTCTGCACACTGTTCACTAGCATGTAGGAAATTATACTGCCTTGGAAGTGGCTTCTTATTGCAGACATTAGCCTGTTAAAAATTCCAAACATTGTCTAAATAACCTAGTGCAAAATCACAGTGATTGCCAAATATTGAGTAACAGCCTCAAGTCATGCTGCCTCTTCAAAACCTCAGTCAGAATCATATCATTTTATTAATTTATAATCCATACCCAGGCCAAAGTAATAAATAGATCTCTTTATGTGTCTCTAGTCATTCTAGCATTTTCGCATTAATATTGGGGACACTTTTCACTCACTCGTAATATGCATTAAGCTATAATACCCTCACGTCATGCACTGTGCTTTTGTCATTTATGTTTACTTTAATTAATTAAGCCTTCTTTTTGATTGTAATAAAAAGATATGTATAATAAATCCCTTATCAGATATTACAGGCTGACATTTCACTCATTGCCTAATAGTTTAGTTGTAATTATATAGTCTCTGGGGCTGGCAAAATACATAATTACTTATATATTTGCAACTCATGAAATATGCTACCATTTAATATAACATGTACCTGAGAACACATAAGATTTTAATTAAATGGTATTTGATGACTTTTTTAACCTTGAGCCAAACAGAGTTCATCGAAGTAAAAGTTGATGGGCGCAAGGTCCAATGATCTTGTAAAAATGGTGATTGACTTGTTGGCACTTACCATCTTATTTTTAACCTCGATTATTGCTTCTTTGCATTGTTTATCATTACCACGGACATACAGTTTATCATTGATAACCTCTACACGTGCCCCTGTCTTTTCTTCAATTTGTGTTAAGTTTGAACCCTTTCGACCAATGACAACCCCCAATTTACACCCTGGAGGGATGGTGATTTTCGTTTTACAATCTGTAGTTGGAGAGCTCTGAAAAAAAACATATTTTACACTTATTATTACTCCCGGTAAGAGGCTCTTCTGTGAAGCTTCACATGCACTACTAATAAATTCTAGCTATATTTACAAACACTCAACTCATATGTTAATTTTTACAGAGGGAGGAAAACCATAGAACCTGGAGAAAAACCCTCCAGGCAAGGGAGAGAACAACACATATTTTTTTGGGAGAAGCATAATGTGTAGACTGTTCTGTCAATCCCAAAATCAAGATAATTCCTAAATACTGGATTCAGTATTGTGTAGTTATATCAATACAAATGAAACAATATACAGTAGATAGCAATGTGGGTGTGTGCTGCATGTCTTAAAATAACTAATCAGAAATCAAGATTTATACTGAGTTTCAATAAACCACCCCAACCCCCTTGGATTTACCCTTTTAAGTTTATGATACTAGATATATAAACTAAGAATCTTATACTCATTAATAATTCATAAGCTCAGCAACCAACCACTGGGTTTCTTATTCGTACCACGTGCAGTAGTTTGAAACCCCCATCAAATATGACCGCACCCATTTCAAAGTTCTAGTACTTTGAAATATTTCTAAAGTCCTACTACTCGGACTTTGAAATATTTCAAAGTACTAGAACTTTGAAATAAAAACAAACATAACAAAAAGAGTATAAGATGTCGTGTCAAATACTCAATCTGTGAGTTAAGTCATGCAGATCAGCTCAGAGGCGGTATCAATAAAATGTGATGTATCCTAAGAACATAAGATGAAACGAGTGTACGCCATCACRATACAACGTGCAATGCAACTTGACGTCACTGTATTCTATTGGGGTTTGAAAATCCTCGTGTATGCCTCAGCATTCGAAATTCCACTCGGATTTTGAAACCCCAATAGAATACAGTAACTTGTATTTGAAACATTACTTAAGATAGCAAAAAATATATACAATATTAAAATATCATTTATAATATTATTTATATTAGTTGCAAATGAGGGCCATAAGTTAGAAAACTGTAATAGGCTATTGCACATTGTTATAGTTATCTTTATAGCTTATTACACATCCTTTGTTAATAAATAATTTAAACACTTACAATTAAATCTTGCAGTAGTCTTTTGGCTTCATTAACTTGTTTTTCTGTTCCTATAATGTGAACTTCATTCTTGTCCTTTTTTATTGTAACATCATAAGGCTTTATTCCAGCTTGTTTTTCCAAATCTCTTAAATTCTTACCCTTTTTACCTATAATTCGTGCAATAACATCTTCATTTCGAGGTTCAGGAAGCTTAATGATTTCCTTCATTTTGCAATACTCTGTTTTTCCTGGCCAACTTTATCTTCAAAATTGAACAATTTTGCAACAATTAGTTACAAAATCAAAAATAGATACTGTAAGATAATTTTTGATAGATTGAAAACTAAATCCATTTCTAAACAACTATATCACCTGTTATTAGTTATTTAAAGTCATCCATGCCTTAATTACTTGTGAATGGTAGTAAAAAAGTGCTGGTTTTGAAAACCA